TAACCATGCATGGACAAATTTATCAAGTATGGTGACTTTTGCAAAATGATTCAGTATTCCTGTTTGTTGATACAGACCAGCTGTCACACAAAATTGATAGACTAAAGGAACGAGGAGTAAAATCATTGAGAAGACAAGGCAAAATTAGAAATTAGTTGAAATTTGCATTTTTTCCCCTCTATCTGGATCTTTATGAATTATAATCTTATGATCTGAATTGTCGACTAGAGGCAAACTGAACCATTCCTAAGTGCTAAATTTATTTTTCAGGAAGATACTGCCACATGTTTCTTTGCGTTCACTGTCTAAAGGAAAATGTCGCCTGCACTCAGAATGGTCAGTGTTGTCATGGCCAGTGTACATACGGGCGATGTAAGAAAGATGCTGCTGGAGGAGCACCTGGAACATTTTGTGATCGACACGATGATTGCAAAGATCCTCCTGGAACATGTTGCGTAAGGTTTGTGAAAGATATATTCATCCTTTCCTCACCGAGACGTTGTTTCATAGAAAGAAAGAAAGAAACAAACAAACAAAAAACAAACAAGTAAACAAACAAGCGAACTAAAAGCAAACCAACAAGCAAATAAGCAAACAAACCAATCAGCCAACAATCCAACCAACCAACCAACCAACCAACCAACAAAACAAGCAAACAAACAAACAAACAAACAAACAAACAAACAAACAAACAAAGGAAACGACAGAGAATTTCTCCAAACACGCAAACAAAAAGGTAAACAAAAACAGGTAAACGAAAACAAACATCAATTAAAAAGTCTACTACAAAACTTCTAGACTATCATGGTCTTCGGTTGAATTTGTTGTTGTTCAATTTAAATGCACGGAGGGTTGAAGACAAAACTGTTGACAGTTTAATTTTCACGTGAACGTTCTCTGTTTGCCTAGTGCTGACTATCACAAATTTGCATAAACATTTAATGAATGTCAATTTTGGAAGAGAGCGTCTTGAACGTCTTGATTGTCATGTGATTTCATTTTAGGGAGTCGGCTATCAATCCACATATCTCTATTTGCAAGCCTCCTTTGGAAGAGAACATGGTTTGTGGTCCAATCAACTTCTTTAAAAATGTTTACATCGGTGCTCAGGTTCAACAAGCTTGCGGACCATGCAAAAAAGGACTTGTTTGCAAGCAAGTCGGGTGAGTCTCTTTAAACACTGCTTATCACAATCCACCATGGTGTGTCAAGGTGGCAACACTAGCTCAGGATAAAACAAGCGTATTTTCACAGCTAAAAAGATGTTCGCCATATTTTGTCGCATTTTACTTTGCCATGCTATTATCGCACTTGGGATTAATGTGAGTTTCATTTGTTCATTTTTTTTCAGAATATTTGGAGTGCACGAGATTTGTG